ATCATCTTCAATGTTACTGAGTTTTCTCTTCCTTGTTCAATAAGAATGATTATTGTTATGTTAATTGTCCACTTCATATATATATATATATATATATATATATATATGAAGTAATAGCACATAAGAAATTGTAAAATACCTTTATTTGCTTGTTGTGCTGTAGAACTAGTGGATGCCTGTGGTGTGGTACTAGTGGATATGCCCACTAGATCTGCTTCGCCCTTCAAGATATCCACACTTAGATCCTCTAACTGTAGGTCTGATAATGGCAAATCTGTCTCATCATCTATGAACCACTCATTATCAGATGCCACATCATCACACACTAACGGGTCCTCATCATCCTTCAACCCTTGTTCCTTAACCTCTTATCTTTCAACCTCTTATTGTGCATAATATACACAAGGGAGTTTATTCTGAGTGTTGAAAGTCGATTTCTTCTCTTTATTTGTACTTGACTATATGTATTTCAATTTCGCTCACACCCAGAGGAAGAATAAGTGAGACCCAAAACTCTAACAACAAAACTCTGTAACTCATGGGTGGAATCACCAAATTGGATCCACCATTCAACTATTTTCAAAAAGAAAAATTATAATCAGAACATATTAAAGTGTTATGCATGTACATATACTTTGAAAAAATATGTATACCTGGAGAATGTTTGGCAATAGTAGATGTTGCTGCTTGTAGACCAAAAAATCCCTCCATATTTCAAAATAATGTAAGTTCTAAATCTATAAACTCCCTAACAGTCTTCTTCGAAATTAGTCGTTCCATGCAATGATACAAGCCAAGCTTCAACTCCGGATTTGATGATTTCCTCTCTGAATATTGAAATTGAGGATTGAAATAATATATCGCTGCATGTCGATGATGGTGTAACTGGACTACTCACCGAGCATCAATGATATCCCAAATCTCTCTATAACTTGCCTCCTCACCTCCCAAGTTATGTGCAATCAACTCCTTTGCCTCATCCATTGCATTATATATAAAACTTATGGCTGGTTTCTTCTTGGCATCCACTGAACGTAGAACTTGTACCAAGGATCTCGTGCTCAATATGGCATAGATCACACTTGCCCAAAATTTATCATTTAAAATTAGCCTTCATATTTCCTTCCCCTCAGGTTTCTTACCCCACACATAATTAAGCCATTATGTCAAAGTAAACATTGCTTCAAGAGGTTGTCACACATCTAGCAAGCTCTGTAGTATCAAATAAGATGTGGCAAACTTATAGAATAAACTTACATTATGAATTGAAAATGATTTGCAGTGGACAAATGTATGAAAGGTCTAATAACAAACCTAGTGGTAGCAGGGCAAATAATTTCTTTCTTTGAAAACTTTCTCATTAAAGCTAATACTCATGAGTGGTTGTAGATGAACTTTGTGATCTTCTTAGCCCTAGAAAGGGCACTCTTGTGTTGAGGTAAATCACCAAGTTCCTCCAATATAAGATCGATACAGTGTGCTGCACAGGGGGTCCAATAGAGGTCTTTCCTCTTCTCCATCAACATTTGACCAGCTGCTTTGTATGAACTGCATTGTCAGTCACCACCTGAACAACCAATTGCTCCCTAATCTCCTCAACAACCCCATCTAGTAAATTGAAAAAGAATTCAGTATTTTTAACTTCATCTAAAGCTTCAACTGATCGTAAAAACAACATGCCGTAGGTATTGTTTACAAGGATATTAATCAAGCTCCCGCTCTTCATGTCACACCATCCATCTGACATAATTGTAACACCAGTCAAACTTAAAAAAAAAAACTCTAAGAACTCTTGAAGAAGTGATGTAGAGGGGCGACCGGAAATAAAGGACTCACCGGCGAGCGGCGGCGCCGACGGGAGAGGCGGCGGAGACGTGCAGGAGATCCGGCTTCAGGAGCTTGCGGGATGGGATCAGGAGCTTGCAGGTTCGGAATCTTTTAGTTCGGCTTGGATCGGTAGAAGGGAGAAGGCAAATTTCACTTTTATTTAAAACTAAAGTGAGTGGGACCCTTTCAATGAGGCACACGCCTCAAGCTAACTTAAGGTATAAGCCTCAGCAAACTCCAAAATTGCTTACGTAATAAGGCGTCCTCGGTCCAAATTGCGCACAGGCGCGGCTCTTATTGCGCAATTTTAAACTATGGTCGTCATCATTATCGGCATCATCATTGATGTCTATATGTCACCTTATAGACAATTTTCATATTTACGATGTTATTTGTTTCTTCTATTCCTTCTTCGATATATTCTTCCAAAATTTCTTCAATATTTTCTTCTTTTTCCATATCTTCTTTTTCTTCCTCTTACAGTACTCAGATCTCCGAGCGGCGACGCCACTGGATCTTCAGTTCTTGATTAGGCAAGGAGATTTCTTCGATTGGTGGATTGCGGTTGAAGTTAGTCTCTTCCTTTGGAGGGTGTGGCAAACGACGAGATCCCTTGGAAAATTCTCCAAGCTCTCGACCATCGGGAGGGGCGTCATCGTGGGTCTTCTTCGGGACCCATTTCTGACGTTGTTTGTAGGCAGGAGCATATCTCTGGAAAACCATACCAGATGTCACGCCCATATCAATTCTTCTTTCTTCTTCTCTGCCAGGCTTTGGCCTCCAGATTTCTTTTCTTTTCCGCCAAGACCTTTCGGCAGCGGATCCCTGAACCCGAGGTTCAAGTGTCAAGCCCTGATGCTCACCACGCGGGACATATCTTCTTTCTTTTCTCTCCATCACAACAGATAAGCGTTCTCTTGGTGAAATTCTCCTGGTCTCGACCATTAGTGGTCGTTGGTACCTTCTATTCTTTAGTCCTCTCTCTTTCATAGTCTTCAGAACCCTGTAGACCCGGGCCGAGAGAGTTTCAGGCTCCTTCTGAGAAGCTGGGACTTCAGGCTATTGGTCCCAAAATGATTTCTTCAGCTCATCAGTGGAGTTGTTTTTCTTCAGCCATTTTAAATTCACGAATACATTCCGAGTAGGAATGGTTGCTTCAGGCTCTTGGGCCGGCAGGTTGGAGGGATAAGTTGAGAATTGGTGCTAAGCTCGAAGTTCAGCATTCTTCTTTATCTTCTGTCTTCTTGTAAGGCTTCCTCCAGATGAAGAGACCTCAGCATCATTCTTCCCGGGTGCAGATAATCCGGTTGGCAAGGATGCGGTGTTTGCAGCCACCACAGAAATCTTTCTACCAGTCACAATTCTTTTGGTGACTGGGGTTTCAAGCTGAGAAAGTAACTCAAACACAGAAATCCTCCTACGAGGATTTTCAATAGTAGGTCGTGGTGCTGGCAAATATGCACGACGTGTGGCAGCTTCAGTAGAGTTGGCCTCCTGGTAGACCCTTCAGATTTCATGTCGTTCAGAGGAACAACGGCAGCCCTTGCAACGACTGCAAGGAAGTCAAGACTACCAAATTGGATGGTAACTCCAGAGCTTCCAGTGTTAATGATAGTGTTTGCCAGTTAGATCCTGGCACCTTGTCCAAACTGGACAGTCATCGAAGTATTCTGTAGATCCATCTGCATAAATGAAAGATAATTGTTAGTAATCAGAGTCTGATACATCACCCCACACTTTTAAAATGCAAAGACTTACATAGAACAATGAATAAAACAAATAAACATTAGCAAACGATTAAAATAACATAAATTCAAAAATTCTGCTAAATGCCATATGAATTGGTTGAATGATCATTTTAGAATATTCAGGACTTTGATTCGTTAAATGATCATTTTAAACGAATCAAAATTTTGAATACGGGTTGAAATAGCTGCTACTATAACACTGAGACGACCAGCCAAAGATGGAAAGATAAACCAATCCCCAGCGGAGTCGCCAGAAATCTGTGGGCTGCGGTTTTGCTGCTTAATGGGGTCGGACAGAGGGAGGAGGCTTGTGAATAGACTCAGACAAGGATAAGGGAGAGGAGCTTGGACGGGTTCGGGCTGAGGGATTCGCCTGCAGGTAGAGGAAGAGGTTGATTGGCATCGGGGCTAGAGCAGGTCAGATAGGTTGCTTGGGTTCGGCTCAGGTTCTAGGGCAGGAAGAAGGTCTCGGCTTTGTGAAAGGGATCGGTCGCTTGAGGCGACAGAAGCAGTAGAGGAGGTCCGGCCGGAGCAGTGAAGAGGGAGGTAGAAAGGTTGCAAAGGAGGTGAGGGATTTCAGCTCTTGAGCGTGAAAGCAGGATGAGAGCCTCAAACATACTGCCTCCCCTCTTATTTTAACGAAAGTAAACAAAGCTCAAGGAGAACAGGCGTGAAGCAGAAGTCCGAGGTTTCAACCAGCGGGATATAGGGGATTTGGCAGGGATCAAAGCAGTCGAGGTGTGCAGGATTTACGCATGAGTTCAGGTACGGAGGGATTTTTTTTATTTTTAACCAGTTTTCTGGTTATTTATCCAGAGGTCAACATCAAAAACAGTTAAATTAAGAATAGCTGCACATATTTTCAATGGAGGATTTGTAATAGCATATCAACATATGTTAAAGAAAACCATATCAACGTGTTAAAAAACATGAGAAAAGAGAGGCATGATAAAGCGGCAATATGAATTACAGTAAGAAAAATTTTACTTCATTAGAGTTTGTTAAGAAAAATTATGCATACTTAAGAGTACTCAATGTGGCTTTTAAGAAGGATGAAAACAAAAGATATATTATTAACAGAACATAAGCTTATACTGCACAGCAATTTACTGTTGCATACCCCAGCAGTGCATTGGTTGCCATTAAGAACATGTCAGAAATCATTCCACCATCTTCTTCTGAATTAAAAAGAAAAGGCCAATAGCCTAGCCTCCAATAGGGTACAACAGGTTATATCAACTTTCCGGAAAATACCACACTTTTCATACAACTATAATTTAAAAAAAAAACAAAGAGATAATCCTCGCAAGAAGTATGGATCCTTAGAATCACTAAAAGCCTTTTGAACGAAAAAGCAATTAAAGCTAATAAAGCAGATGTTTTACTTTTCTTATGGTGAGCAGATAATAGTTAACATTCTTGTACCTCCTTAGAGAACAAGCCACCTACGGCAGATAATCCCAAAAGTACATCGGGCTTCACTTTTTTGACCTGATACAGGACAAAGACAGCTTTTTATAATTATATAAACACATTACCTAGAAGTTGAAGGAAATCTAACGACTTTAATCAACAAAATAGATCATCTCTACATAACATTATGAAGAATTGCAATTTTCATAACAAAACAGCTCCCTTGTAAATTGCATTTCACAGATAGGACACCTAGTCAATGCTAAACATGTACATTTTAAGACAAGCCTTGAAAAATCAATGTATCTATACAATCTATAGTATCTATACTACCTATACTACAATAAATAAAGAAGTTGGCGATTCTCCTCATATTAAATCCTAGCGATTCATCTAATCTCTTAATATTAAATCATAGCCCTTCATTATTCTTATATTTATCTATATACTTACTATTCAAAAAGTGGCTTGTGATAATGCCCCCTCAAAATTTTAAAATAAATGCCACCTTCATCTCTACTTGTTTATTAAATCCAAAATATTTATGATTCTACCTATTCTATAAAACCTAAATGTTTTTATTCTAAAGAAGGGGTGCTAATGGACGTGGGAGAAGAATATGGAGCTAAATAGTCCAACATTGCAGAAATGGAGCCACAACATCTCTAAATGCTAGGGAAGTTGTGGACTCCTGAGAAGCAAATGTGCATCCCATTCCTGCTGAGTGCAAAAATACAGAGCCATATTGTGGCTCTCAATCACCGTAGAAATGTTAGAGATAAGAAGAAATGGAGGAGACAAACCCACCTAAAGCGGAGGAGATAGAAGGCACCCTCATGACACTTCATTAGCCTCATTTTTTATTTCTCTGTTTTCAATGGAGAAAGTGAACGGAAAGATAGTTGATTAAAAAAAAAACCTTCATATCTGCTCCAAGCTCAAATACAAGATTCTTGAGTATTGAGAGCCTTCAGCTTCAAAGAAGCTGACAATGGATAGATAGAGTAAGACACATATTTGTACCCTATTAGAAACTTATTGTCTATTGATGACCTGTTAGAGTTTTGCAGTCATTGATTCATCTGTCTTATAATGATTTATTGAATATCATGAATTGATTAGAATGTGATTGCTATACAACATACATGATTTCAAGTTATTCAAATGAGAAGTTTAAAGGACCACAAAGAAAAAGGAAAAGTTAGCCATATATATATATATATATATATATATATCTAAGATCATCAATAGCTCAATTAAATTAGGATGGAAAAAGTACTTATAAAGGGAGAAAAACAACATATATAATTAATGTTAGCTCCATGTTAAAATGATTAATGCAGAATATAACTCAATCAGAATTATTTGTCTTTTATGGATTATATATAAAACCTCTAGAGATCATGTTAAACTTATTTATGGATTATATGTAAAACATTACATACAAAGATCCCTGCTATCATTTTTGAGGATATATTAAAAAAATTATTAATCACAGAGATCCCTCGAATGTTTAGAGTACTTGTCAAAACACATTTAAAGACTTTTATGGAGCAAAGCACCTCGAATGTAAAACACCGCGATGAAACAAACAAGAAAGTAAAAACAGCGGAAAGTAAAAGACACCATAATTTAACGTGGAAAAACCTAAATTAGGGAAAAAGCTACAAAGTCACACCACAACAAGAAATCAACTATGAAAATTTGAAGAAATAAGTACAAATCTCTCTTCTCTCTCACTTTCTTTGCTTCTCTTCTCATATACACCGTTCTCAATGTCTACTACCAAGAAACACAAGAGAAAGTAAGTTATATCCACCAAGGGACGCAACCCTAGAGAAAAACAAGAAAGAAAACTATCAGGTCCGCCACGCAGCATTGTGGTGTCAGTTTGGGGTGCTACAATGCTCAAACTCGTGGTGTTACGGCGCCAAATCCAAAGCGTTATGGTGCTCTGCTCTCTATCGATTAGTGCTGGGGCGCTTGAGAACACAGTGCCAGGGCGCAAGGGTACACAACGCCAACACCTAAATCCAAGCAGGTGGTAAACTCCCTGTACCCCCACCCCAGCAAGCATGAAAAACTTGAGGTTTGAGGCAATAGAACAACCTGATTGATCAACACAATCAAATTCCACACATAACAATCTCCAAGTTAAAAACTGATTGCAATCAATCCTTCTCTCGATCTATAAAACTACTTATAGTACATATAGTGTGGCTTACCCCTGCTCCCATCCTTCATGAAGATCAACTGAATCTACATATAGCTTCAACTTATCAACTGTCTCCATCTTCATTAGCATGTTTGCAAGATTCATGGTCATATCTTTCCCAAAGATAACTGCCCATCTTCTAGAAGGGACCTCATTAAATGACACCGACGATGGAAGTGCTTCATCCTGGCATGGAATGCAACATTCTTGGCTAGATGTATATCACTCATGTTGTCAGTATGTAGCTTCTCATTCCTTTGCCCCTTGCCAAGTTCTGTCAAGAAACTTTGCAACCAAATAATCTCCTTGCTAGCCTCAGTGATAGTAATGTATTCTGCTTCTGTGGTTCTGAGTACAATAATCTTCTATAACTTGGAAACCCAACTAACTACAGTCTTTCTCAAAGTGAAGATAACCTGTTATGCTTCTCCTACCATCAAGATCTCCAACAAGATCAGAATCTACATAATCCTGTAGATCAATCCTTGCACCACCAAAGCAAAGAGCTTTGTCAAATGATCTTCTTAGGTACCTGAGAACCCACCTAACCGCCTCCCAATGAAGTTTTCCTGGGTTACTCATAAATCTGATGTCTACTCCCACTGCATATACTATATCAGATCTTGTGCATATCATAACATACATCAAACTTCTAACTACTGAAGCATATAGAGTCTTCTTCATATGTTCTTCCTTTGCTTCAGATTCAGGAGATTGCTCCTTAGATAATTGAAAGTGACTACCCAAGGAAGTGCAAACTGGCTTTGCCTCACTCATTTTAAATCTCTGAATCACCTTTTCAATATACTCTACCTGAGATAACTTCAGTATACATGCACTTCCATCTCTACTGATTCTCATACCAAAAATTATTTGTTGGACCTAGATCTTTCATTTCAAACTATTTTAGCAACTGTTCCAAATATTTTATCTTACCCATATCTAACCATGCAACCAACATATCATCTACATAAAAAGCAGAATATAACAATTATCAAAAATATTAAAAAAATAAATGATTAGCCTGGCACTTTGTGTACCCATTATCTGACATAAACCTGTCAAATCTCTTGTACTACTATTTTGGTGCTTGCTTTAGCCCGTATAAGCTCCTTTTGAGCCTATACACCAGATCTTCATTACATGTGACTACATATCCTTGAGGTTGCATCATGTAAAACTCTTTATCAAGGTCACCATGAAGAAATGCTATCTTTACATCCATCTACTCTAGATGTGAATCCTCAATTGCTTCCATGCTCAGTACAACTCGGATTATAGTCATCTTCACCACTGGAGATAATTTCAGTGAAGTCCACTCATTTCTTCTATTAAAAACCTTTAACTACAAGCCTAGCCTTATAGCACATGCTACCAGCATGTTCTTCTTTTAGCCTATAAATCCACTTGTACTGCAGTGCTTTCTTGCCATATGGTAGCTTTGTCAACTCCCAAGTCTGATTTAATTCAAGTGAACACATCTCATCATCCATGGCTTGCTCCCACTTCTTTGAATCATCAACTTGAATGGCTTTATCATAGCACTCTGACTAACCACTATCTGTCAACAATAAATAGTACAAGGAAAGAGAATACCTTTGCACTAGCTTTGAGATTCTGGTGGATCTCCTCATTTCAGTAGCAGGAGTCTGAGGTACTCTATATACTTTATCAACTTTTTCTTGATCATCATCATCCTCAATCTCAACATATTTGAAAGAATTTTCAGTAGTCCCATTTTTATCCTTGTATATTTCATTTCATTGAATTTAGCATCCCTGCTCATAATGAATTTATGATTCTAATAATCCCAGAATTTATAACCAAATTCATCTGAGCAATATCTAATAAATGTATATTTGATAGATTTTGGATCAAGCTTACTCCTAGATCCAGCATCAACATGAACATAGAATGAACAACAAAAAACTTTGAGGTGAGATATACTAACCTCCTTTCCACTCCAGGCTTCTTCAAGTAACCCCTCATTCAAAGGAACTGAAGAACCACAATTGATCAAATAAACTGGAATATTCATCGCCTCTGCCCACAATTGCTTGGGTAGACTAGTATGTAACCTCATGCTCCTGACACACTTAGTGATAGTTCTATCCATGTGCTCTGCAACACCATTTTATTTTGGTGTTCTTGGAATAGGGAACTCATGCCTGATCGTATTCAAAGCATAGTACTCCTTGAACTTTTTATCACGATACTCATCACCATTATCTAATCTAAGACACTTGAGCTTCAAACCTATCTCAAGCTCAATCATGGCCTTCCCCTTCTTAAAAGCATCAAACACACCTGACTTGTGTTTTAAGAAGTACGCTCATACTTTTCTACTGTGATCATCAATAAATGTAGCAAAATGCAAAGATCCTCCTATAGAAGTAGCTGGAGAATGACCCCATACATCAATATGCACTAACTCCAACTTCTTTGACTTGGCCTTTGAATCGGCATTTAAAAAACTCGCCCTATGTTGCTTGCTATATACACAGTCTTCACAAAAATTTAAATCTATAGATTTTAAACCATGAAGCTTTCCTCTAGTAAGAAGTGAATGTATATCTTTCTCATTCATATGGCCAAACCTTTGATGCCCAAGACCTCCATCAGCATCTGAATATGCTACTTAAATAGAATATGCTCTTCTAGTAATAACATAAAGGATGCCTTCTATAATGCTACGAGCAATAACCATAGTCCCTTCTGTCACCTTCCACGTATCTCCTGTGAATGATGTCACATGACCTGAGTTTACAAGATGACTCACAGAAACTAAACTCCTATTCAGACAAGGAATGTGCCTAACATTCTTGAGTCTTCAAATTGACCCATCCGACATTCTAATATCAAC